GCTCGTTATATCTGTGCAAGCCCACCAGCGGCCGAGCGGTAAAGTCACTGGTAGTTCGGTCCGAGGTTCGAATCCCGCGAACGGGCTGGCCGCATGGGCGTTTTCGTGGTTTTCCCCATGTGTAACGTGTATGCGAGTGAGTTTCCCTTAGAAAGTCCTCCATGAAGGCATCCCTCTTCTTAGGCAGATAGCCTTACTGTGCTTTGCCATAATTAAATACACACCGTTATATCTGTGCTTTCATCCAACTGCAATGCGAAGTACTCACAGCATTTTATTTTTTGAATAAATGTCGATTTTATAGAATTTGCCATTTTATGAATTCGTCGACTTACTGTATCATTTAATAGCGGAATATTATCAAGTTCATTAGCCGCTTTTTCGATTAATAATCTTAAAAGGACACCTTTAGCTTGCTGGTAATATCAGGTTTTCTCCAATAGTGTGAGCTTGCCCAATCCTGGCAATTCTTAGGCTTAATAGATAACTTAGCTTCCAAAGCTTTTCCACTGGAAGTAACGAAACCTTTCATTACTTGTTTACTAATTTTGAACTCCAATAATTTCCTCTTAAAATATTCTTCAGATTTATGCTTTAAACTAGCTTGCTTAGATTCAAGACATCTTTTAAGAAACGATGGTTTCATACTTTGATATAATATTGGATAATATTTCGCCGCAAATAGCACATTGAGGATGCGGGTCCATTTCATCTCCATTCTAAGTAAAACGAAATAACTTAACTTTCATTATATTTTCTATAAACAATTTGTTTTTTTCTTTTTAATATTCTTAGTGCTAGTAGATTGTGCTGGATCCATCACCTGTGAATCCTCACGTTTTCGTTTAGTCAATTCGAGTTATAATACCGTTTTTAAAATCTAGGTTCATTTTATTATTTTTTTACAAATATTTAAATGCACACTATATTACGAGTTTTCAAAAACAAAAGACGATATTCTCAAATCGCTTAAGAAAGATATAAAGCAACAAGAAGACAAAATAGCTGCTGTCAGAAACAGCTAATCGACATTAAAAAATGATTCTAATTGAAAACAGAGCAATCTGAGCCCGTAAATGGTGCATATAATGTAGACATTCTAATAAATCGATCAACTGTAAAGGAATTAATGAGATACTATTACCTTTTTACAGGAACTTATTTTTATTTCCTATTAAATACAACATCCATTTATTTCTATCACCCCTTTCAAAAGCATCATTTATGACAAACTTTGTTATGTGTGTGGCTAAAAAATATTTGTGAAAATAAAAACGGATGATTTTGCTAAATTCTATGAGCAACTATTGTCCTTGAAGAAAACACAGGTCGCATAAATTTAAGAGTATTGGAGAAAACACTAAAAAAAGAATGTTGGGGTATTTAATTTTTAAATTTAATAGTTAAAAATACTTTCTTTCTTTATTTTTAATAGTTAAAAATACTTTGTTTCAATTTTTCTCTTCAGTACCACAAGTGGTACACGTAACCATCGGTTGAGAATCGTTACACTAGAGGATTTACTATATTTTGTGATTCGAAATCTTCAAAATTCAGAATAGAATACAATAACCAGTTCTACTCTATAATTTTATCATTAATTCTGAATTCCTGTGCACTTTAATACAAGATTAAGCTAATATGTATTATAATTTCTCTCAATATTTATTCTATGAATTCCTGCTTTTTTAAGAAACAATAGATGTATATAAAACCTAAAAAGTAATTTTGAAAGAATTAAAAAGTTCCTTTTTTGTTGTTGTTGCAGGCAGAAGATCGCAAAAATGTGTGTACTAATTGGATTTTCTAATAATTAGAGCTCTACGGTAAGTACAGATTTTTATATTACAGCCTGGGTTTGTTAATCACTTGATTGTATTTCAATCACAACGCTGTAATTACTTCTTTGTACGAAGCAAAGGCAGTATTGTAATCTTAAAAATTCGGGTATCATATTTCAACCAAAATATCCATTTGACTTCTCTTGAATACCTCTAAAAGATGTTTTTGCGTGACATCTGTAGATACGAATAGAATAAAGGTCTCCTTCTCCCAAAACGGATTAAAAAGTGGATTTAAAATGGATTCAGAAGAGAGTTTTTCGTGACGTCTGTACGTATGTATGTAACTTGCATAACTAAAAAAAAAAAAAAAAAAAAACAAAACAAACAAACGCCTAAAAGTGGCCTTAGAACATCGAAGTTTTGTACATGGGACTGAAATAACACGTCTTGAGCATCTCCCTTTTTAGTTGCGATGGGCCTCACCAAAAGTATATATAATATATAACAGAGTATGTATGTATTATATATATATCAGCAGCTCTTGGTAACTTTTAGGCGAGCTTTCTACAATTTATATATATATATATATATAATTTATTTACTAAATAATATGATTATATTATCTACTAAGATTGATTATAGTAGAATGACCTGAAAAGAGTGAATCCATACTTAGTAAGTTCTATTTCGAAAGATGTTTTTAAGTAATTTGAATGTAATATATATATACACTCTGTTACTCGACTGTGGGAAATCAGTTATTTTTTATTCTTATATGTAAGTTGTGCATTTTTGCTTTAAAAGTGATTGAATTATGTTGTTCTTATGTCCCGGTTAAGGTTTTTATGTCTTTAGTTAATCTTCATGCAATAGTTGTAGAATTATTAACAATTTAAAAAGTGTTTAAGTGGTAATAAGAATAACAGAGCAGCCATATGTTTACATCTGAAACTTAGCAGAGTAGTGGAAAAACTCAGTTTCTGTACTTTCAGTGTCTTTCTGCCAAATGGGACCAAAAGTAAACTTTCAGTTTTGTGCACGGAAAAATCTACCTTCTTGCCCGCTGGCCGATTTCCTTTTTTTTTTTTTTTTTCCGTAGAAGCTATAACATTAATTTTAAAAATTGCTGTTTTAACTGTATTTGTTATGCTATGTGTTTCTGTATTTTTACAATTCTAAATGAAGATGTCTTGAGTTTTTATGTATTTTTGCATAAAAACTCAGACTGTGTGTTCAAGTGAGAACTGAATTAATTGGTTAAAAAATATATCTCTAATGAAATTCGAGGAAATAAGTTTAAATGAAATGCGGCAATAAATGTGTAAATTTTGTGTAAATAAAAGTGTGTATAATGTATGCCATACAGAGAAGTCATGGGTTGTCCACATCAGATTTTTCTTTAGGTTAGAATCTGAAAAATTCGGAAGACCAAAGAAAGTACAAAAATCCCTCTCGAATTCTGATTTCTAGTCCTTTTAAAAAATCTCTGGATGCAAAGAATCGACTATTTATAATGAAAGGCTTTCTCTGTTTATCGACATTTTGTTACTTCGATCATTTTCGCTGATAATCAAAACCATACGTGTCGTGCCTAAATTGTAGTTTTGACCTATTTTTTCAAACAGATTCGAAGATAAGCTTTGATTCGCATTACGAAGATTTTTGTTTACGTAAGCATGCTGTTTAGTATTCGCGTCATCTGCTAGTATTGTATTTCTTACTAACTGCTCTAACTTTCTTACTAAATAATTATTACTTACTTACTTATTTGTATTTTGATGAACAAAATATGTTTGCAAGTTAAAATGCAGGCTGTATTTAATTCGTTAAAGTTTTACAAAATATGAAATAGGCAATAAAATAAATTCCAAATTTCAAATTCGGGGTTACAGGTTATAAGGTATTTCTCCCGCCTTCTTAGCGTGCCTTCGTGGTGTATTGGTCTGCACGCTGGGCGCGTATTCCAGAGGTCCGTGGTTCGACTCCCGGCGAAGGTGTTGCTCATTTTTCACCACTTCTGCTTTAAAAATAACCTAATGTTTCTACAGTGGCGCCTGAACTAAAAGGGCAGCGTATGATGATTCTCCACACCCAGGATTTGGCGATCAGGCCCCCTAAAACCCCAGTCGCCCTTTAAAAGGGGGAGTATATAAGGTATTCTCCCGCCTTTTTAGCGTGCCTTCATGGTGTAGTGGTCTGCACGCTGGGCGCGTATTTCAGAATTAATAATCTAATTAATCTAATGACTCTAGAAGGTGACTATGTTTGGGTGTTCTTCAAAATTTGATGGCTCTAGGTACCGTGTTTCTTTCACAATGCGAGAAACTTCCATGCGTTCATGCATATTCTTCATTATTTAATTTCTTTTAATATAATACAGGGCTGGAATATCTGACGGGCACTATTTGAAAAGTGAAACGGCGTAGACGACGCAAAATGCCAAAACGAAATTAAAAGCCCTTGTGGTCAAAGTGTCCTCGTTGAAAGTCCGACCGCAACAGGGTGGGATCTTCATATTTCTTTTGTGATTCGCCGTCGCTTCTTGGGCCGCATGTGGTCGGTGGGTTGGACACTCCTATCTCAGCCTGCTTGAACGATTTTGGAGATAATTATTAAATATATATATATATATATATATATCTCCAGCATGCGAGAATATATATGGGAAATTCTAAAGAAATGTTCATTTTAAAATTATTTTGTGATATTGCCGTTGAAATAAATTTTGTTTTAAGTGCGAAGAACATACGTATTTATCAAATAAAGGTAACACATGAAACATAAAAAAAAAAAAAAAAAAAAAAAAAAAAAAAAAAAAAAAAGAAAGCAGCCCTTTGGACGTAATATAAATATTTCTTTTCCCTAAAAAAACGCTGTGCCATGTTGCCCTAAGGGTGCGTCATAGAATAATGAACTAGGATCTTTGAACGACTGGACTAAGGAGGAGTAAGGAGCTAATAAGTTTCCAGGCTGTAATTTAAATGATACATAACAATATGTACCTCGCATTGGGAATTTGTCTTTCACTCGTTTGGTATATCATTACATTTATTTATCAAATGCGGAAGTAAATAATATTATCGATAAGCGCAGCCTTCGTAATCGATCGCACCAGGAGGAAAATTCTGCGAAACATATTTAATATTCACCTTTGGCGACTTTGGAATTCCTCTTGGCGAGCGCCTCTGTCGCCAAACGGCTCCTTCTGCAACCCTGCTGTAGGAAATAGCCGACTCAACACGTGAGACGTTTTCGTTTGCAGCGGAGGTGAAAAAATCGCTGCGCTGCAGTCAGACGGAGACGACACCGCACCCCGAATCTTCAGGCGAGAGCTATGTCTGCGTTCGCAGCACCCCTACTGTTTACTATTGAAAAGTGGTTTGATTCTTGAATCTTCGTCGCTTTCTCTATGTGGGTTTAAAACTGACCCTTTCACCCTCGGAGCAAAATGTCTGCATTCAAGATGGGTCCGGAGTGGCGAGAACCGATCGGTAAGTGCGATAAATATCGAAACATTTTCCTCGGGCTTGTTTGTATCTGTGTGTTAGCGATACGTGTGATGTCTTATTACGCAGTAGGGTAGGGGAAAAGGCGTGTAAACTGTGTTCTTGGTCTTCAAGGCCGCACTTTGTGATGGCAAGCCGAAATGATCATGGTGTTTTCTATTTAATGCAAGGCATACCACTACACTAAACCCGTACATGGAGCTTTTCTGAAATGCGCGGCGCGCCGCATTTTTGCTTTTCAGGTGAGGGAGGACGGCGGAAATTTTTTAACCGATCGAGACTCTGCGCTGTCGGGAATGATACACATTGCGTCTCGATGGGATCCGACTTCCATGCACCTGCAGTTCCATGTGTTGTGATTGCACTTTCTGTGCAATGCCGAACCACTTCTTAGAGATTATCGACGAGGTCCGGGAGGGTGGCGAATCGATTAGAATGGGATGTAACGGCGATCATTTCTTAGGTAGGGTAATCCCTTTTTCTGTGATGACGCAATCGCCGTTTTGCCGGCTATATGTGCCCACCCCCTTGGTAAAAAGTCGTTCCCGCCCTAGTGACATATGACTCACCAGTTCCAGGAAAATGATGTAAGGGGGAGGAAATAATTTATAATTTAATAGAGGAATGGAAATGAGTTTTTACTGCAGTGTTTTGTTAGAAATGGCTGTATTCGTGAATTTGGAGGGGGAGGGGGAAAGAAATGGCCGGGGGTCCTCTTTTATTTTAAAGGATGTTTAATAATTGCGGTGTACGAAGAAATAGTAATTTTTCTGAGTTTTGTATGACATTTGATATTTTGTTTTCCTTACGTAAATAATGATAGATAGTCCTTTGAGATCGGTTAACGGTTACATTTATATTGTAGTTGTAGCGGTTGCATGAATGAATAAAATGTAAGTTTTTTTTTAAAAAAATATTATTTAATACAGTAATTTAACCCACAGTGGGGCAAATTTATTTTCCACTCTAAGTTTAGGAGATTTTTTTCAAATCGAGTTTTCGAAAATAAATAAAGAAATTAGAAGCGCAGGAACCTTAAGAAAAGCCGTCGAGAAAGGTAAACAAAATTAAATAAATAAAATAACTGATAAATAATACAATTAAATAAGGTGTAATAAAAAATTAACAGATTTAGTTAAATTAATGATAAGACCTTAAATAACAAATGTAAACAGTGCTTATTTTATCTAAGACTGTGGTTGGCATTAAGGATTTCATTCAAACACTGAGAAGACCCCTGGAATATAAACCCTGAATAAAGTATACAGATTTCTGTATTGGAAGGGGGATGGAATATTTTATTCATTTTAAGTTTGTGATGTTTATTTATTTGAATAGTTTAGTCTTATAATTACTGAATATACTTATTTGTACAAAATAGTGTAAAATGGTTGTACAAAATGGTTTATTGCATTTATTTGCATAGTTTTGTATGGTGGTAATAAGAGTTAGATATTATTTACTCACGTTGCACCTGATTATTAATACAGGTAGTAAGTTACCAGTGATATAATAAGGTGTCTAAAGAGACCGGCGGAAGTCTGATATTTTCACCGCATTATTTTAACTCAAAAGAAATTATATATTTAAAACTCGGTTTTGCATTCTTCGTTAATAATTTATTCGCAGTTTTTAATAGAATTTGTCTCATTTAAATAAGTACTTTTTTTTGCATTAATACTTGTATGATTATTTATTTTCTTTTTAATATTTGTCTCAGGCGACTAAATTTGCTCTAAATTTCTTCTTTTTTTAGATTTGAAATTTATTTGTATTCGACAACTTCTTTCTGTTCCCCTAACACACACATTTTTTTAAAAATGTTTTATCTATTATCTTTGAGATGGCCTGATTTTTGTGCATAAAAGTATTCTTTTTTTTTTTTTTTTTTTTTTTTTTTTTTTTTATGGTGTTGAATTTCTGATGTAAACAAAAGCTTTTGTGGTTAATTTTAATCGTTCGTAAAATCTGGACAAACTTGGGTTACTACTAAGTATCAATACAGTCAGTACCTACGAAACTTCATAAAATCAGTAGCCACGAAATTTTACTAAATGGTCAGATTCTTGATATGTTAAATTTAGAACCGTAGTGTCATTTTTTTTATTCATTTGTTTTTCATTGTTTAACTTAAATGCCAATATGACAAAGAAGAATTCGTTATTAAGGGAGAATAGGTTTGCAAAACATTCAAATTTACGTATTTAATTATAATTACGAAGCAATAATAAACGTAAGTAAATTGTATTGGCAATTAACAGTTTATTTAATAAACAATCAGAATAGAATAGTCTGAAAGTTATTTTATTATTGCTGAATGAATACGGAGGTCGCACTGAAATTTTTGAGATAACCCGCAGACAATAAGTGGTTAAAAAAAATTAACAGCTAGATTTGAAAATAAGAACTATTTTAGCCTAGTAGACGATTTTTTATTGGCCAATTGCAGGCAGTTTAGCGTAGAATAAATTTTGGGTTGAAGGAAAAATGGAATGGAGGCGAGAAAATTATCGCTGGCGATTTTCTGTGATTGCTAAAGGGAATTAAACCAAGAAGAATGCGTTTAATTTCTGGAGTTAGCATTTGGAAATGAAGGTGCTATCTCGTGATACCATAGTCAGGTGGTTTACGGAATTTCACAGAAGTTGAAATTCTCTTCAAGATGAAGAACACACAGTAAGGCCGTTGTCAGCAGTAATCCTGGATAATGTGTCTGGCATATGGAAAATGTTAATCGATGATAATTACTACTAAGTATCGATACAGTAGCTACGAAATTTTACTAAATGGTGAGATTCTTGATATGTTAAGTTTAGAACCGTAGTTTCATTTTACCAAATGATATATGATATTCTTATCCCGAAATAGTCCCTATCAAATCAGTGATACAGAAGAAAGTTCCGACGTCATTATATTATTCGTGAAGAATTGAATATGAGAAAAATTAGTTTGCCTTTGGGTTCGCCATAATTTAACGGGGTACCAAAAACAGGAGCGTGTCAGAATCAGTAAAGGTTAGGTTATTTAATTATGGCAAAGCCTCGAGGGCTATCTGCCTAAGTGGAGGGATGCCTTCGTGGAGAACTTTCTAGGGGAAACTGGCTCGTATACACGTAACACATGGGGAAAACCACGAAAACACCCATGCAGCCAGCCCGTTCGCGGGATTTGAACCTCGGACCGAACTACCAGTGTTCAGCGACTTTACCGCTCGGCTGCTGGTGGGCTCCAGAATCAGTAAAGAAATTTTTAAATTACTTGAAGATAATAGCCACCGCATTACTTCCAAAATAATAACTGATCATGAAACGTACATACCATTTCTTTTTTGACCTTCCATCACGTCCAAAAAGTAAAGTATGGGTTTTTGAAAATAATCCCACCCCCACAATGGTGAAAAGACAATGTGCTGTAAAAAAAGTAATGTACGTCGTTTTCTTCAGAAATAAAGGACTGGTCAAAGCCATCAAGTTGGAAGAACACAACAGAGTCACAGCTAACTGGTACATCACTAAGTGTCTTCCAGAAATTCTTTAAGGAGTGAATGTTAGAGTCCTCACTGTGACATTGCATTTTCTCATTCAGCAAGATTGACATTTGAATTTCTTGAACAAAAACACATTAAGGGGATAGAACATCCACCTTATTAACCCGATCTAGCTATCTGTGACGTTTGGCTAGTTTTTTAATCTAAGAAAGAACTTACATGTGCGTCGTTTTCATGCTGCAGGGCACTACCTTGAACACTCCTAAATTTTGGAAGTACAACTTTAAAATGCTATGTGCATCTGAAATATTTCAGAGTGTGCCTCATAATAACTACGTATTAATACTTCTGAACGTTCAACATACTTGAAAACATAAAAATGTATACTTGATATTATTTTGAAAAGAAAGAGTGTACTAGTGTCATAAAGAAATTCAGTGAACCCTCTTTTGGTGATAACCTCTGAAAATAAAGATTACTATTGAAAATGTAAACAAACATCGGCATTGAACATCACTTCTTTAAATGCCCCCAACATCCAAAATCCATGTTCAGTCGGGGTGGGTCATTAACGAGTGAAATCTCGTAAAGGATGAACAGTGTTTTTTGTAAAAACTCATAGCTGATCAAATTTTGTAAGTGATGAATTCATAAAAAATAAACAGCATGTATAAAATTTCTCGCATTAGAACATGCATGAAAGGAAAGATAATGTTATAGAAAATTTTATGAGGAACACTTACAAAAAAGGAAATTAGCATAGAAGGAAATCCCACGAAACATTTTAATAGCCCCAAAACACGAGGAAAGTTTTCGTTTCAATAGCTGATGCTGCATATAAAAGCATCTTGGCAAATATTATGCATTTCATAATAGCGTTTGAAGCTCCCATTCTTGTGGAGTAAAAATTAGCAAGATTGGTAAACATAAGAAGCTTACAAATTGTGTAAGTACAAGAAGCATTTTATCTTGCTGATATATAAACTGTATTTGTGTTTTAGAGCTCATAATTTCCTCTTTTTGCTCTTGCGATACAAATGCAACCACTAGAGTTGTATATTTCTATCGTCTTGTCAACAACGAATTCAGAAATGCAGGTTTATCATACTGTGTGAATAGCTATTAAAATTTGTTTACGTCTGTCTGTGAAATCAATTCCTCCGGAACGGTAGGGAGTTGAGTTTCAAGAAAGGTACCCCCCCCCCCCCCGGATTTTAAAAGTTCGCGGGAAGCCATTTCGACCATTCTCATCTTTGCACTGCTGTAATCAGCCGCGATTTTAATTAAAAATTCTGAAAATGCTCATTTTCCCGAGTGGCAACAGTCTCGCCCACTGGAGATTAAAAATCTTTATTTCGTTTAAGTGCTGCTCGCTTTCAAATCGTAGAGTTTGTTAATAAAAAAATTGTAAGTTTTACAAAACATGAAATAAAAATAACATTGCGAAACATTAAACAAATTATTATTATATAAGGGCACATTTTGACGTCGAAGAAAG